TGTTCGGACACAATAATCCAAGTTGGGCCGCACCAGAGTTATGCAGTGAATAATTACCTTTTTTTTTCTTAAATGTAAAGGTACCCTTGATTATTCCTAGAGTTTGGTTAGTTTTTTTAACTGCCGCTGCCACTTGTGGAACTTTTAGTGAATAGTGGATCCTGACTCCAAGGTCCCTGGCTCCATCAACCTGCTGCAAGGTAATGTTATTAATTTTGTAGTTATGACGTAGGTTGCCACGCCTTAAGACCCCAACATGCAAAGTCTTGTTTTTTTCCATATTAAAAACCTTTGCCAGTCTTCTGACCATTTGTGGAGTTTATGTATATCTTTTGTAAGGCCTCAATATAATTTTCACTTTCAACTTTACCATAAATCTTTGTCATTTGAAAATTTGATGATGTGGGTTGCAATATTGCCATCTATGTCGTTGAAGTATATGACAAAAAGGGTTGACCTCAGAATGAGCCCCTGTGGAACCCCACTCATCACATTTCTAGTCAGGTTCATTCCCGTTTAGCACGACACTTTGTTAAACTATTGTTTAATACATTCTAGTATTCTACAATATATTCCACGTGACTATTTCTTTCCGTCTTACATGTGGTACCTTATCAAAAGCGTCAGCAAAATCTATGCAATCTACCACAAATCATTTGTATGAGAAGCTGGTTATCGTTCCAAGAAATGTGAGCAGGTTTGTAAGGCAGGAATGTCAAGTGAAAAGAAAAATGCCCACCCATTTGTGTTGCGTGGGGATCTAACCCGGAATCCATGATTAAGAGTTGAAAAAGTACACCACTGTTCCATGCTGCAACTACATTGTACCATCATATAAATTCACGACATGCTTCTGTCTCTTTCCCCTTGGTTACCTTGTCACGATGCTGTTGTCTGCACGGGGCCTCTGATTTATACGAGCTCTCTCTTGGTCAAACTGACCTACCATTAATGTATGATGACTTACTGTAAATATATAGCTCTTGAAATAGCACTTTCTCTGTAACTAGCTGACCTTGTAACTATAAGGTGTGAAGGATAGATGAAATTGTTTATGTAATAATCTAAGATGAGGTCTGATAAAGACCTTTTGTGCCCTCTGTAATGCTTTTGCGCTACTGCTCACAGGACGAGTATGGGGTGCACAATAAACTAAACACAATAAACAATCAAAATCAATCTCTCATTTTGTGGCAACTTCTCGAATTAATTAAGTCGCGTGGAATGGTTGGTACCATGCATTGAGTAGCGGGGAAAACTGTACATATTTTTAGACAGTAGAGTATTTACAGCCTACTGTCTGTCTCATTTTACTGTGACAGTCTTTTATATGTTGTTGCTACTGTTTACTGTCTCACGCCTGACCCTTAACATCCAGTCAGAAGTTTGGCCGTGTCCCTTGACTGTTTCTCTGGTCATATACTTACACTTAATTTACTTGTTTGTCTAGGGATGTATGACTTATGTTGGCCTTCTAGTTAAGCCAAGAGAAATTCCAGGAGAATATAAACGTCTAGTAGAGTAACATACATATTTATAACAAACTAACTACACATATCGGTAAAATATTAAGGAGAAACTCCTCATATCCTTACTGACATTCACACACATATTTATAATAATGATCAATTACCAATATGGTTTATCTTTCTCAGAGAACATAAACAATACGGTAACCCAAATACTTTGGTCTGATATTCGTAATTTTAATGAGCAACCACCACACACACATGAATACATTAGGAAACCTCTGAACTCTATTTATCCCACTCAGTACCTCAAACTACTCGAAGGTCTCCTGCATCTTGAATAAATACAAAATTGTGGCTTATCTCAATATTTGGGAGAATGTAACTGTAAACTGGCGGCCGTCGTCAACACGTCCTCTACCCGTCTCGCGGGCGTCCCTTTGGTCTGCCACGTCACCCGCCCCTTGATACCTATTTTCTCATCATGTCTGGTCACTATATATATATATTCCTATTTAGCCCAACTCTATTTGTAGGTTATATAAACGAGTCCATTTTTCCTTTACATACAATGCTCACGTACTCCAAAATAAACCTCTGGCTTTTGGTACTAGTTACATAGGCGGAGTGATATGAGAGACACGACCTTCCAGCAGCCAGCTGATGTTAATGTCACCTTGAATATTTTATGCAGCTCTCTTTCTTTTAGCCACATTGTTACATAACTTGTCTTCCCCTAAAATATCTCTACAGGAGACAAGGTTCATAACAGGAAGGTAATGGACGTTGTTCCACAGTACTGTTCAGGTTGTATCTAGCATGATAGTTGGCTGGGGAGCCAAAGAATGTTGACTGTGGACCAAGAGATGAAACCTCACCCAGCGGTAGAACTAATCCTATATATCTCCAACAGCAAGCAGGCACATAACGTAATTGGCATCTCCCAAAACGAATCTGATCAACAACTGATTCCGTTATGGTTTTTCCACGAAATTTCCTGCCAGTTCCCGCCAGACATGACTGTGTGTACATTGTGATGACTGAACTATGGGACAACCCGAGTTACGACACTCCAGCAAGAGCCATCACACCAGCTGTAGAGTAGGAAAGAAAGCATAAAGGGTCATGTAGTACAGTCGGCTTTGTTCTCAACTATTAATTGGAGAGCCTGGGTTGTTTCTCTGGCGATGCATCGAGAAATAGTTGGGCAAGTTTCTTTCACCTAATGCCTTTGTTCACCTAATAGTAAATAGGTACCTGGGAGTTAGTCAACTAGTGAGAGGTTACAGTGTGGGTCGAGTGGGTTACATCCTGACCCTCCCCCCCCCCCCCCCCCCAAGATACAATTAACCCCACAGCAGTTTATCAACTCACGGGTACCCATTTACTGCTACGTGATCACATGCATTAGTTGACAATAAATTACATTTTTAAATTAAATGTTTATATTTTTCCATATCACTTGAGTGAAATTATTGCTTTTTGCAAACTTTATCCATTCCTCCCTTTCTGCCTACTGAAGTTGTGCCGAGAAATAGTCTCAGTATTTCATACTATGAAGGTGGAACATCTTAGGGTAACTCAACCTTTACAAACTTTTGGAGAAGCTTGCACCCGGACAGTCGAGGAGGTTGTAGGTACAGGACTTGGGTCATTCGACTGAGGCATATCTGATTCAGAGTTGTGTAAACAGAAAATGTAGTTCCATCAGCCTAGTGCATCTTCAATTATTGAAATTCCTCAAAATGTTGCAGTCGGTCTTCAACCAGTATTTGATATAGTAATTTCGCAATTGTACTGTGATTATTCTAGGACGACTAAGGTAAGATTGCCTTTGAATCCTGTACACTTTGCTCAGGTAAAGATTCTCTTTTACCTGAGCATAGGATAATAGCCTAGCTTCCTCACATTTTGGGTCTTGCAAGTTCAGTGTAACCTTGGCCCCAATTAAATTAGGGTTTCTGTTTAGGTATTCTTTATCCACAGCAGTCAGCATTTCCGGGCAGGGACATTCTATACGCAAGACACCACTACAGCAGCTCAACTCACAAAGGGAAACGGGGATATATAGGTCTCCATGTGCGGCAAATATGCAGGTATCAAAGCCAAGAACACTCTTGGGTCCTGCTTCACTCTCAGCAGCCAGGGTAGCATGACAGGCCCAATCCAAGAGAGCGCGAGTGAGCCAAAAGGACTCGCCAAACGTTTGCCGGGTTTAAATAGAGCACTGAAGCCTCACCATCGTGACAAGATAGCTGCCATGGGTGACTGCAGTTCTTAATATTATCTGAAGAAAAAACATACTGTGTTAACCCAAAGCTGAGTGTGTTGTGTGCACTAGAAGTGTTTAAGATCTGTTTCACAGGTCACTATATAGGGAACCCGGTGGTGCCCAGGTCGACCCTGCGCCCAAGCCAGCTTCTTCCACACACCCTCCCTGTCTCCACCTATACATATTCTCCCATATTCCCAAATCACTAACCATTTTCCCTACATACTCTAAATCACTGAACAGGTAATCAAAAGTTTGTGCCCAGAATGCAAATCTCATCTGAACATTCATTTTACATATAAATATCTGAATACACTATTAAAAAAAAAAAATGCTAAACTTTAGACTTTAGGTTGCACATTTTATATCTAGAAACTTCATTAAGGTGTGCAGAGGCTGATTTCCCTTCCCTTCATAGGGTTTGACCCCAACTACCTAATGAAACTATAAAATCACCAATCACCATGTCCAGTTGCATGTGGCTAGCCACAAGCCTCTGGCTTCCAACCTTGGACAAACAGGCACATTCTCTTTTAAAGAGAGAGAGGGTACCGAGCAGTACTCAGGTAGGTTGGTGTTTCAGGTTTCTCTTTCTTTCTTTCTCTTTCTTTCTCTCTCTCTCTCTCTCTCTCTCTCTCTCTCTTTCTTTCTTTCTTTCTTTCTTTCTCTCTCTCTCTCTCTCTCGCAGTAGGCAAACATGCTCGAGTAACACTGAATCAACATTGAATCAATATTATCAATGTTGAATTAATGTTGAATTATCAATGTTGAATTAATGTTGAATCAAAGTTACCAGCAGAAAAAAACAAATTAAATGCAGTATGAACAATCAAATCCACATTTTGGACTTCATTGGAGTCACTGTTTGTCACAACAGGAGCCAATCTTCCTTAAAGTAGGGCATGAGGGTCAACCCCCAACTGCCCTGTAACACACTATATAATCACAATTCACCATTGAAAACAAACAAGAGAATTTAAAGAAACTGGAGTTGATTTACAAGCTTACCTTGCAGGTACCTAGATTGGTGAGGATTTGGTTAATACAGTATACAGTGAATGTTCCAAATTCCTTCACCAGTTTTAAGTGTTATAATGGTTAGCTGTGAAAAATAAAAAGCTTTTTAAATGGTATTAAATGTGTTATTTTTACAAAGAAAAGAAATAAGAAATTGACTCATAATAAGCAGATTCTTAATTTAAATACCACAGTGAAAGGTTTAAATAATCTCTGACATAATAATGTCATAAAGTTCCAAATGCTCTCCATGTGTTTTATTGAAGATTGATAATGTACAACATTTGAATGAGGCAAAAACAAATTGACAATTATACTGCACCTGAATGTTTTAATTGTAATTTTAGTTTATTATAAATACTGTACTCAAAAACAGAGTTGTGACTGCTCTTCCTTTGAACCATCATGTTTAACCTTGATAACATGCACTGTGAATACTGCCTATCAAATAAAAAAAAATCTATTAAGTTTACCCGTCTAACATAATATACAGGTCATCTATTGAAGGGTAATATCCATTAGCAAAATTATTGGTATGTTTTACAGCTACTTCCATGGATGACGTTAAATTGTGGGGTATGTGGAACCAAAATACTGTGTGTACTTTTGTCGAGAGGAAACGCAAAAGCTTACGAGTCGACACTTATTTAGGGGTAGCTCATAACCACTAAATTTGCTTGTAATTAGTGCCTTGAAGCAAGCAAACATTTATCAAAAGAACCCTGGCACCTTCATTGTGCTTGAAGGTGCCAAGCCGGGAAGACTGTAGCACCGTTAATGCCTTCAAGGCTCACCCCAATGAAATGTTGAAACCCGAGCTACTATAGGAGACATTTTTAATCCTGAATTAGTAGTTGTGGATATTTCAGTTCTTCAAAGAATATACAACATATTACAACACTCGAGGAACAACATCAACTTGTACAACGAATATCTCTCAGTGCAAACTCCTTCATTTAACAAGTCACGTGTACCAATACTAATGTTACATTACTGTTGTAATTTCTAAATATTACACACAACAGAGTTAAGGAACAATGTTCAGAGATCTTTGGCCCAGAGCTTCAAGACCAGGAATAGCTCAGTACCTGGTATAAAAATGGCACACACAACATACAAATGTTAAGAGCTTACATTCACATCATATTCAGATTCTGTATTAACTATTCTAACACAAGATCAATCCAGGAAGCCGATTGATTAGGCCTTGGAGCAACAGGATTTTTTAGGCTTAGAAGAGTCTAGAGAACAAAGCTTCCTTTAACATTAATTACCAGCTTACTGGGACTTACAACTTTGTGATTTTTATATTCTCAATATGCCATTATTGCTCTGCTTTAGATCAATTTGCCTAGAGAAAAAACTTATTTTAATAGATCACATTCATCTGCCCTTGGTGCTTTTTTATAGATAGTACACAGTACAGAATATAAATACTGAAAGGAATGCATAAACCCCAAGTCATTAACATACTGAAGAGTTAATCAGTAGGAGCCATGAGGAGGATTCAAACCCCTCACTTGGGACTCCAACGTTAGCACCCTTCCCCACAACGCCACGGCAGTCAAAAGCAATGCCTGGGCCTGCGAGCCGCTCCAAGCAACAGCCTGATGGACCAAACTCTCACAAATCAAGCCTGGCCTTGGGGAGTAGAACTACTCCCAGAACCCCATCAAGCAGGTATCACGCAGGTAATGCAACTGATTTTCCGATTTCCTCATTGATACATCATGTTTGTGTGATATCATCGAGCATACCGTAGTTCTCTAATCACAAGCAGATAATGTTATTCGGCCTAAATCTGGCAGCATCTACACCCATGACACATCATCTTGTTTCTCTGTTGCCTCGACGTTGTTTTGCTGGCTGTGGTTGTGGTTCTGCTACATCATCGCTCGGTTCCGATTTGATACGCACGACGCGTGGTTTTTTGCTGGCAGTTGAGGGGCCAGCTTTGTTTAGATCATCCTTTTTAACTTGCTGTTAGGGTAAAAGTTAAATAGTTATTGCTAAAATTTTACTTAACACTGTAAATCTTTAAATAAATATAGACATACAAATATTGGTCTTAGATGATGAGACATTTCCACAAGAATAAAGAAACTATGATTTGATGTAACATGATGAGATATCCCCAAAGAGGCAAGTTATGTATTTTGCATACCTGCTCACCTTTTACATCTGGCACATCTCAACTGCCTCCACAGAGATGTCAAACGTGTCATGAGGACAATTTGTTACATTTATAAACCCAAACTCAACAAAAATGAGTTATGTCAAACTAATTATCTTGAGATGAGGTTATCTCGAGATGATTTCGGGGCTTTTTAGTGTCCTCACAGCCCGGTCCTCGACCAGGCCTCCACCCCCAGGAAGCAGCCCGTGACAGCTGACTAACACCCAGATACCTATTTTACTGCTAGGTAACAGGTGCATAGGGTGAAGGAAACTTTGCCCATTGTTTCTTGACGGCGCCTGGGATCGAACCCGGGACCACAGGATCACAAGTCCAGCGTGCTGTCCGCTCGGCCGACCGGCTCCCTTATTATTTAAGCCATTATTGGATCACCATTACCGGATCATTAACAAGAAAATCAGATGAACTAATAAAGGTTGGCCTTCAAAAGCTAAACAATATTAAAAAATCAATAAAACTCAAGGAATTACACAATGAAAAATGACAGGTAATTTATTAATTGTATTGAAGCCGGCATAATCAGTGTAAACTGTGAGGAATACCAGGACTTTTGTCCTCTTAATAATAATTTTCATCTACAAGGGAAGGTTTAATACAGTACAAATGTTGCCTTTTTCATATATACACCTCCATTTTCCACTTACAGTACACATACAAAACATCTTGTACGCAATTTATTAAGATAAAGTCAAATGCAAGTCAGATTGATATATTGTAATTAATATACTAGACACTACTGAAACTTTAAAAGGCAATTTGTTTTGAAAAACAACAAATCTTTAAAATGTCCTAAACATGTTAAATTTAAGAATGTCTCCTCAGTTCCATCAGGGGTTTGACCAAATAATATAAACAAACTCTTCCCCTCTTACCTTATCCTTAAAAATATGAGACAGCTGCTCACTTCTGGACTGCCAAATCATCTGCTGTCTTTGAACAACATCAGGATACCTGCAACAATTACAGCAGTACTTCAGTATTAGCAGAAACAACAAACACCTTTATATATTACCTTTGCATTTGCTATGAATGCATTTATGAATATATTACAATTTATATTTCCTCTGGAAAGTCTCCATACCTTAGGGGAAAAAGTAGCTGCATGAAGAATATCCCACAAGAATTTTACAAAAATTTCAATACTAATAAGTACTAAAGCAGAACTTGAAATATTTGTCAGAATTTTATATGCTGGTTTGACTATTGAGAAAGTGAAGCATTTAAATGAGGATATCGCAATGATGTACATACAAGAGAGAACACAGAAGAGTGGAACCATGACAAAATAGCCACAAGAAAGTGACAAAATTAAGGAAAAAGTGGAACCAGTATTTATTGGTTGGGCAAAGTAGAGGCAAGAGAAGATGGAGCAGGCCACTCACATGCCATGTTGTATGAGTAAAATAAAAATAAGAGCCATCATCAAACAGAAACTACTCTCTTCCATCTCTTTCTCATCTGCTTACATGATGAAAGCCACATCCAGCTAACCAGTACCAAAACTGTACCAAGAGAGACAAATTTAAAAAAGCAGACTAGGACCACCACCAAAGGAGGTTGCCCTCCCTTTCTATGCCAGTTGTCATATTCTTTTTTTCTTGGTTTTTGTGGAAGTGCTGTTCCATACCCGATACTTAGCTTTGTACCGTTCAACCTCGTCAGAGTTTCTCTTACTCGCCTTTATAATACTGTTTCTTCTCCCTCTTTACCAGAGGGGTAAAGCGGGTCCCACTTTACCAGTGGGACCCGCTTAGTCTTTGGATCAGGTACTTTATCTTATGTCCTCCCCTTGTTTTATTGTATTTCCCTCTGCGAAGGATTTCTATTTCAAGGATTTCTATTTCAATTATTTTATTTCAAAATCCTTCAAGGAAGGATTTTTCTATTTCTATTTCAACAAGAAGGCAAGGCTTCCTTCTTGTTGGCCCCGGCTTCTGATAGTTGTGTAAGCAAACTTGGTGCTTTTACTTGCAGGGAGTTTTCTTCTTTTCATCCTGAGGATGACACTCTCTTCTCTAGCCTTCTGTCCTGCTTGGCCTAGAGTAAGTGTTCTGGTGGTAGCCCTCAGTTCTGGCTGGCGGTGCATCATGCTCTTTGTCCTGTGGCTGTATTACAGTATTACTCTCACATCTCAAGCTAGTCTTCTCTTTGTTAATTCATTTATTTAGTGCCTAACCTGTATTACCATTACATATACAATAATCAGTTTCTAGAGCTCTTCTACTCTCCAAGCCTGCCCCAGAGCCAGGCTTGTTTTTAACCATTTCTTAACAACCATATGTTGAAGATAGTGTCTTTTAGCTCTAGCTATACCATGCCATTGCGTGAAGATGACTTCCAACAGTCATTGGGAAGAGACCTGATGTGCATCACAGCATTGAGTAGGCTTTGCGATTGGCCAGGAGATGTCACTCACACTTAGCTCGTTGCCAGTGGAGGTCGCTCTCTGCTTGCCTCCTCCCACAAATAGTTCCATGTAGAACAAAGCAGTCAGAAGGTCCACAACTCAATTATTTAATGAGCAGCACTGATCTAGAGTGATGTGAGAAACCCAGTCACCATCTCTATCACTCAATACATTATTCAAACGAGAGAGAGAAATGAGAATAGACATAGTATAGCTGGGATGTCGAAGTTGCACAGGAAAAGGGCAGGAGTCTAACAGGATGCCAATTTAGGCATGTGACTAAATGAGGGGACAGGTGGGTGTGTAATGAAGGGACAAGTGGGTACTCAATGAAAGCCATGAGATGGATGACAGACAATTGAATATGGAATTGACTAGTCAGCATAGTACATTGAAAAAAAGTGGCGAGCTGAGGGCGACCAGAGTAGAGGGTGTATACGAGATGAATAAGATTACTCAACCTATAAGGACATTAAGAAAACAATAACTCCAAAGGTAGGCATTATCTCAGCCTTGGTGCTCATTAATTATTAATGACAGACTGTGAGGCTATATAGTTGACTCTTATGGTTGATGGTTATTGCAAGTACTCTGATGAATAGTACTCTGATGAATGTACTCTGACTTTAAGTTCATGAGGTGAGAGTCTCCTCATGAACTTAAAGTAAAGCAAGGTAAGTGAATTTGCCGTAGCTTATTAATGATAAGGTCTCGGCTGGAGAAACACAGTACCTCCGAGCACTTTAGGTGATTAATCCTCGATACAATAATTCTCATTCATGCAATAATGGCCAATATTATGCTTTGAACTTTTGGCACATTAATAGTGTGTTGGTTGCTCATTATCTTTTAGATATTCCTCATCCTTGTCAGGCCTGTGTGGCTCCGGAGTGCCTTTATAATCAGTTCTTATTTTCCAGAGCTCTGGGTTTGTGACCGTCTCACCCCAAAGATCAGTCCTCCATCTTTGAGTGGCCTTTAATTATTATTGATTTGATCCCAAACCCAGTTTTCCTCTTCAAGGTGCCATTAAAAGTATGCACAGAGAAGTTACTGAATACCAGCTAAGAAATCAAGCAATGAATGTAATGAAGTGCCCTTCTCTAGAACAGTATGGCTCAATGGGAATGATTGCAAAACTGCCACTGCAACAGCTTCCTTCCTCTTTCCTGCCAGCATTTCTAAGAGAATCAAGGGCCACTTTGAGACAGCATATGATCAAGCTGGGTACGCAGCCTTAACACTTTCGCATGCCCGGTGGGCCACCCGCATCGTTAAGTCAAACTCTCTCACTTACAATGTTTATACTTAACACTTTCGCCCGGGCATGACGCAGCATTGCGTCATCCGTTTACTGTGGGTAATGCCGGGGATGACGCAGCATTGTGTCATCCACTTTAAATAATTGCCAAAAATCAGGTTTTTATCCGATTTTTTGGGGACTGGTTTTAAAATGCGCTACGATGTCTTCCCATTTTCTTTGTTGAGCCTCGTGGCCCTCAGGCGGCTTGGCACACGCCGTGGGCCCATTGTTTTCGCTCCACTGTTGTGACCAATGTCACCTCCCCTTGAATCTCAAACGTGTGAACATTTCGGCTATTTTCCGTGGCTATATTTCTTACTGCGGCTTTAGAAACTATCTACGCTTACTCCACGATGGATAGTGATCATGAACAAGGCCCTTCCAGGAAGAAAATTGTGAAAGAAAGGCTTGAAAAGGGCGGGAATTGGGAGTGTAGCTGGAAGGTGTCTGAGCGCTCACTCGTGGCTAACGCGTGGCCCGTCTTCAACTCGTCAGCGGTTGGAGCGTGACCAGTTTTTATATTTTATATGCTAATGTTCCTCTAGAAAATTCTATTGCGAACCCATTGAGGCGAAAATGAAAGACCTAGGACGAAAATTGAGGTGACCAGAGTGAAAATAGTGAAAACATTTTATCGCGTTTGCGCGCTCCTGGGTAACTCGTTCGCACTTTCTCTGTTTGCTGCGGGTAATTAGCTGGGCTTTTGGAGTTTATATGCGTTTAGTGCTGTAGAGAATTCTATTGCGAACACAATGATACAAAGTTTAATCTCGTAGGACGAGAATTAAGGTGACAAAGTTGGAGAGTATACACTTTTCAGAATTTATGCGCGCTCCCGTGGCACCCTGGGACCCAAATCGCACAGTTGAGGGGTGGCGCGCGGGGTACGCCAAAGTGTTAATAAGACTAAGCAAAAATTTATGAATGATGCCGTTTGCGTCATCACACACTGTGTGTGTATTGTTTTAATGACGATGAGTGTGTTATCAAGTAGAGAAAGTGTTAAGTGACCTAAACTGCCATCTGGTGGTGCAATAGGATACTATCCTAGTTTGTTATTAGGCAAACAACTGCTTTCCTTGATAATACTTGTTCTTTCTTTCATCAAGATACAGTGTGTCTTTTTAGGTTATGAGGTTAATCTTAGATCCTCCATGCTCCTCTCACCTCTAAGAACACACCGGATTTGTTTCTTTGTGTTCAATACGCTAGCACAAGTCCAGAGGCCTCATAGTTTTGTGCCTGTGACTATGGTGCCGTCGTCAAGGCACTAGCAAGATACTGAGGCCACACAAAAACAAGCATCTCATTACATTCAACACCGAGTTCAACTACAGTCATTAATAAAAGGGAACGAATTAAATAATTTCTATAATAATTTTGCAAAAGTATTCAAAGTTTCAATCATTTCTAATAGTGAAGCTTAACATCTAAAAGTTAAATGTACGTGTAATCCAAAAAAGGATCGTAAGCCTCACTTCTTCATGAAGGTACTGTCTGTAGGAAGGAGAAACTCCCATGTTGTCCGAGACCCCCGGCACCGGGACACCCCACACAATATGTCTTTCAAATCACTGGCTGGCAGTCCCACAACATCGGCAACTTCAGCACGTACAACACTCGTGCTTTTCGTGAAGAGGTATAACTGTGCAAGGAGAGATACTTCATTAATTCATACACTACAGTTCAGTAGCATGACTCAAGATATTTTGAGACGGCATATTCAGTACACACCTTTTGGTTATAAAATTATAATTATGGAAAGATTGTTCATTTCATGTACTGACAGTCAGTAAACAAATTCTGAAATTATATATTAATATATTATAAATAAAATGGAAATAAGTTTCATAACTCTACCAGAAATGCATATTCCTAAGTGGAACTAATTGAGGAACATTTCAAGATAACATAATAAGCAGCAATTTCACAACTATTATGCTGGAACTTCTATACCAACCACATAATCTCTTCCTCGTTGAATAAGTTCATTAGGCACCCCAGACTCCGATCTGCTGTCCTTCGGATAAAGTATGTCTGATTTAACAACCCAATTGCCTTGGACAAGCACAGCAACTTGCTGCAGCACCTTCAGCACAGACAGTGCTGACTCAACGCTGTTGCCATAGCCAAACACTCCCAGCAGCTCACCAAACGATGCAACACAAGCTGTAAAAACAAACATTATTAGCACAACTTCTGCTGATAACCTAGAAATAAAATTAGAAATTAAAATTATACTGAATATAAAAATCCATATACAGTGGAGATTCCTTTCAACACATCAGTTGAGATTATGGAAATGAGGTATGGGAAAATGTTCATTTTCTTTTTATTTCTAGGAAAATAAGTAAAACATAACATGTTTTATACATATTTTGGCACAATCTGTGCATATTTTGTGCATTATGATGCTGGCAAATATGGTACATTCCAGAAATGTAATTGCTGCATCATATAAGGCTCACCAGTATACAGATAATTTAATAACATACAACCACACCATTAATCATGCTGCATTATGCAAGGCGTGCCTGTACAGTATATAGATAACCTTACAACACGGCAATCATACCATTAATCATGACAGTCTTGACACGGTCATGCAAGGGAAGAGCCGTAAGAGCAGAGCGTGACAAGAGGTGTGCTGGAAGTCCCGGTGTCGCTAATTGTACTTCCTCTGTGGGCGGCACTAACTGGCTTAGGTATTCCGCCGAGCCTAAGCTGAACTGGTCCACGTGCTCGTCTTCATACATGCAGTACAATTTTCGCAGCTCAAATTCACTGCGCTCGCTGCCAGATCTGAAAAATACGAGCAGCATTATGTAATATTATACATCCTGACACCTTAAAATAAACAATTATCTGAATTCAATCCTTCAAAGCTATTCAATGGTGAAAAATTATGCAACACTTTCTGTAATATTAATAACTTATTAAAACTTATTAATAACTTATAATATTAATACAGCATCAATCTCCTTCTGTAGAAGGGTACTATTTTAACACACAACTCACTTGTTATAAGCCACTTCAATCCAGGGTTCATCGCGTATCTGACGAAGGAGAAACCCATAGCTCTTTTCCTTTGCTTTGCGAGTCTTCATCGTATCTGGCTTCTCAAATCGCACAGTCACTTTCGTGGCTTTTTCCTCATCGTCAGAATCTGGAAAATAAAATTATAATAATGTGATGAATAACTACATGACAATGACTAGCAACAGAAGGCTAAAACAGAACATGTCAAGCAGGATTAAGACGAAGGTGGAGATAGGCGTAACGAACATGGAAATAGTAACACCAACGGAGAAAGTTATTCAAATTTAAAAATAAGGAGAGAGAGAAGATATTGGAACTAGAAATGATCTTAATTAACTTTGAAAAGGAACCGGGTACAAGTAACAAACTAGAAGCAGACATCATGGAGGTATGGATGAAAATGAACTTAAAGAAAGGGTTAAGGTAGTAGAAGAAAGGATAGGGTTAAGATAGTAGAAGAAGGGTAGTAGAAATGAATGCGATTTAAAATGCACATGGAAGCAGTAGACAGATTCAGATAAAGAGGAATCTGTAACTAGCTTGGCCAGTCAGTTGGCTCAGGGAGAAGAAGTGTTGTTTAAAGAGGGGCATGGAAAGTTTAATTAAAAGGGGAGGAATGTTAGGATTAAGGTATGTGTAGGATTAAGGTCAATTAAGATTAAATTTGTAACATTAAGATCCGATGCTCTTTTCGTATGCATGGCACCCATACCCGGTGACGTCATTGTTTGTGGTTGTTGAAATAAACGCCAAGTGGATCACACATTCATTTCTCTTCCTGCCATATTATAACAACAGGGTTAAGGTAGAAGAAAGGATAGGGCTAAGGTGGTAGAAGAAGGGAAAAGGCTAAGGTAGTAGAAGAAAGGAAGGGTTAAGATAGTAGATGAAATGAAAAGGTTAAAGAAGTAGAAGAAAGGAAAGGGTTAAAGTAGCAGAAGGGAAACCTGCTAAGGAAAAACAAAAGATGCAGTTGGTTAGCCCGGGGTACTGTGCTTTTTGCCCTTAAGCCGTTTCTTTTCGTGTTACCAAGTTTTTTCGGGTGCCTTAGTATAGGTGCTTTTCCCTGATGCCAGGCACTTCTCTGCCATGAAACTGGTGGTCTCCATGCTCTGAAGCACATCTTTTTACAATGGCCACAAGGTTTTTGAGTTCCCGGGCTTTGGTGGTTCTGTTCTTGACTTCAGGCTGTCTGCCATGGCATCCCAAGCAGTCAAACCCTAAGGTGTCTTTGGTTACATTATCTAAATATCATTCTGCTGATCCTTAAGTAACAGGGTCAAAAATTACTTATCTCAGTAGGGCATAAGTTGCTCAGGCCTGGCATATTAGCAATGACATGATAGAGACCATGTCTGATTCAGAAAAGATTGTGTGGCTATACTCTGAAAAGAAAACTCTTACAACAGGGCTGTCTGTGTTCTGGGGGGAAAACAATGTATGTAAATGCAGTGGGGTTGTGTTGTGTTCACATTTTCAACAAACTCTCTGTCACTGTAGAGCAAGAGGCTGATGTAATTCTTATACAAGGAAAACACAAATTTCACAATAGACTTTAGGACCTCACCTTCACCCTCTCCAGTCGTGTCCTTCCGTTCTTGCCGTCCTCGTTTGTCTGCTAAATCCAGGTATGAGAATGATGGTCGAAGGGCTAGGACAGATGCTATAGGTGTTAAATGAAGACTGGAATCGCGGACAACACCAACTGCATAGCGACTAACATCACTTAGAGCTTTGGTTGAAGTTAAAACTAATTTGTCCATAACATTGCTGCAAAAATAATTTAAACCTGTTATATATTATTAGTAAAAGTCAAAATTGAAAATGTTACTGATCTATATACAGAATACTGTACTTCATAAATCTATTAAATTGGTCATGAGAGAGATTATAGTAAAATAACAGATAAAGATAAATCATGATTGTTGGTACTGGGGGACTTCAACTTGAAAGCAACAGACTGGGAGGCCTACAAAGCAAGAACAGAGGACATTTGGACAGGCAGATTTGTAAACCTCATTCTGAAGACATTCATGTATCAACACGTCAAGCAGGCCACGAGAATGATGGAAGATGTTCCATCAATACTGGATCAAATACTTAGCAGGAAAGAAGAAGAGATATTTGACATCCGGTACCTCCCTCCCTTGGGAAAGAATGAGCATGTCCCGTTAGAAATTAAATATGCTTTGCGAATTAACCTAGAGGAGAATGGTAACATTGAAACAGTTGATAAACTATTTCAAGAGAAGCCACTATGGTGAACCTAGAAAATTCTTTAATGAGTAATTGGACAGAATTGTTGCTAGGCAAGAAAGTAAATGAGATGTATGCCAAATTTTGCAAAATATACGACGAATGAACACAAACATTCATACCAAACAGAGATGCAGGACCAGAAAACAGGATTGGTTTAACAGAAATTGAGGGGGGGGGGGGGGGGGGGGGGTTGGAGAGGATAATACAAGAAAATAGGTTCAATATCAGAAGAGGCCTAACCCACAAACATACCAGCACTGCTTGCTTGATACCTGCTTGATGGGGTTCTAGGAGTTCTTCTACTCCCCAAGCCCAGCCCGAGGCCAGGTTTGACTTGTGAGAGTTTGGTCCACTAGGCTGTTGCTTGGAGCGACCCGCAGGCCCACATATACCTGCTTGATGGGGTTCTAGGAGTTCTTCTACTCCCCAAGCCCGGCCCAAGGCCAGGCTTGACTTGTGAGAGTTTTGTGAGAGTAACCCACAAACTCTCACAAGGTTTGTGGGTTAGGTTTGGTCCACTAGGCTGTTGCTTAGTGGACCAAACTAGGCAACTGTCTAGTTTTCTCTTGAAGATGTCCACGGTTGTTCCGGCAATATTTCTTATGCTCGGTGGGAGGATGTTTAACAACCGTGGACCTCTGATGTTTATACAGTGTTCTCTGATTGTGCCTATGGAACTCTTGCTCTTCACTGGTTTTATTTTGGATTTTCTTCCATGTCATCCACTCCAGTGTATTGTTATTTGACTGTAGATTTGGTACCTGGCCCTCCAGTCTCTGCCACATGTATATTATTTGATATCTCTCTCTCGTCTTCTTTCTAGTGAGTACATTTGGAGAGCTTTGAGACGATCCCAATAATTTAGGTACACTACAGTCAAGCAAGAAACAATTACACAGCGGTGAGGAGAGAAGCAGAAAGGAGCTTTGAGAAAGGTATAGTGACAAATGTAAAAACAGATCCAGATCTTTTCTATAAATTCATTAAAAGCAAGCTGCATGTAAATGATAAAATCCAGAGATTGAGAATGGGGAACAGGACTACTGAGAATGAAAAAGAAATTGTGAAATGTTAAATGAACAGTTCCAAAGTGTGTTTGTACAAAATGAGGATTTCAGAGAGCCGAACCAAATACCAATTCCAGAGCATGCCATAGAATACATAGAGGATGTATGGCTGGATAGGCTTAGATCCAGTATCTCAAGATGAAGTGAAAAAAATTACTCAGGGGGGCCAGGAAGAAATAAAGTGGTTGGACCTGATGGAGTTTTAAATTGGATGCTGTAAGAATGTGCAACTGAGCTGAGCATTCCACTCCAATTAATATTCCAGACATCCTTGTGCACAGGAATCTTAGCAGAGATATGGAAAAAGGCAAACATAGTACCAATATAAAAAAAATGGTAGTCAAGAGGGACCTCTAAATTATAGACCCGTATCATTATCAAGCGTGATAGTCAAAGCACTAGAAAGAGAAACAAAGGTGCTGACAAAATATTAGGTTTTCTTTGGCAGACAGTGGTAGATGGTTGGAACAAGCTAAGCGAGAAGATGGTGGAGGCCAAACCCATCAGTACTCTAGTTTTAACGCATTATATGACAAAGAGTATTGAGAAGACAGGATACTCAAGCGTAGCCTAATCCTATAACCACACTTAGGTAATTACACAAATATTTATAATCACTTAGTTTTTAACTACCATAATTTGTTTGGTCACAACTGTAAATTAGTGTCAAAATGTTTGCAAATGAATTGTCTAGAGAACAGATGCAAAACTAGGTGTATTTACAATAAATTATGTACAACAGCGACGAATAAATGAATTTTTATAAATAACAATTGAATGATGCAATTTAGTACCAATGGAACGTTTACTGTCAAAGTACAGATGACATGTTCTAGCATCATCAGAACAAAAGTTTATTCAAAGTTACACTATTTTATCTCCGAGTGTTAAGTGTAAAGATAATTCTGCACATCTCTTATAAATCTTTTATTATAAAGCCACATTTATGTCTAACGTTTTACCTCTGAATGACTAAAGCACTTCTTACAGTCTGCCTCGTTAGTTCATCCTGGATAGGCTTATTTTCCCAGAAAGAATTACTGGTAATGCCTTTGTATGATAAATTATATTGCCAGTTTGCCTATTTGTGATTTGCTTGGGTCTCTCTCTTGTTCCCCCCTTTCCCAATCTCCCCCTTCTCTCATCTCCCACTATTTTCCCCTCTTTCCTTGTCCCCCCTTTCTCCCCCAATACCCCCACTCCCCCGCCTCTCATCTCCATCTTTTCCTTCCTTTTCCATCTTTCTCCCTTCACCTCTGACCTGTTCCTCTTTTCTATCTTTCTCCCCTCCCCCCCCTCTCACTTTATCTCTTAAGTCTGCCTCAGAAAATGTAACACTGTAACCAGAATGAATAAGCATGTAGACTACAGAATATACAGGCTTGAGTTTATGTCAGACGTCATGAAAATCTCAGCTCACTATAGACGCCAATATTTTTTAGTGTAGTACTGAGGCTGAACCTGACTGGCCTATAATACTAATCTCCCGCCCCCCCCCCCCCAGACAAACATAAAACAAGCAAACAAATTTCCTTTTTTTTTTTAAGTACAGTATATCTTAGGAAGCCGGTCGGCCGAGCGGACAGCACGCTGGACTTGTGATCCTGTGGTCTCGGGTTCGATCCCTGGGTGCCGGCGAGAAACAATGGGCATAGTTTCTTTCACCCTATGCCCCTGTTACCCAGCAGTAAAATAGGTACCTGGGTGTTAGTCAGCTGTCACGGGCTGCTTCCTGGGGGTGGAGGCCTGGTCGAGGACCGGGCCGCGGGGACACTAAAGCCCCGAAAGCATCTCAAGATAATCTCAAGATAGGAAAGGAATTTTCTCTTTTTGCTAAAATTCTTAAAATATATTTTATTTGCATAGAATTAAAGTACTATGCAGGACTGTATATTCATTAAGTCAACACAATCTTTAATTAAAAGTTCATAGCAAAATAACATTGTGATTAATTTCCACACTCACCTCTTGTAGAAATTATCTTCAGTATCACGTTTGTCTCTGAATGGTCCATCAACATTAAGAGCTATCTGCTCGCCCTTACTTTTGTCGTACGTCGGTCCTCTAGTTCGTAACCCCAACTCCATCTCCACCTGACCACTTTGGGGCCGAATACTTGTCTGCAGAGAAGTAAAATAAAAATTCATATTTGTAAATTCTCTTTGCAAAACAGAATATACAACACACCCAATATGCTTCGTTACATAAACCATTACAATACGTTACATAAACCTCTGTTACGTACAGTATTGTATTGCATGAGGGTTTACATACAAGTTCACACAATGCATATTTAGTGTGGTACAATTATGTTCCTTAGAACAAAAGTGCACCTCAATCTTGTGTAACCTCAGTAACCTGTGGGTTGTGTAAAGTAAATAGTAAAATTTCAAATAACTGGCTGAAACCCTTTAAAAATACTGTACATTGAATTCACTTCTGATAACTTAACATTTATTTCTAAGTGCTGTAACTACAACACACTTGCAACCCGCCTGGCTACCGACCTTAAGGATAGTCGACTCGTCATAGTTGTGAGAGTGAGGCCTCACGGGATACTGCAACACATACAGCTGCTCAGCCAGGGTCTTGGCCAGGTATACTGGAATCTGTTGAGGTGCAAATTATTTGACTTCCAAAATATATAAAACATATATATGTCCTATACTGTACATTTATTTCAAAAGCCTAAAGACATGCTACCATATATATACAGTTCTGTATATGAAACATATTCCTGGAGAATGATAGGGAAATATGTGCAACACAAAATGAACAGTTCCAAAGTGTCTTTGTAAAAGACTAGGTTTTCTGAGAACCAGATAATGCCAATTTCAAAGAACATCATACAATACTGAACATAAAGGTGTCTTGAGACTAAGTAGAAAAATGATTCAAGGAGCTAGGAAGAAACTAAGCAGTTGGCTCAGATGGAGTTTCATCTTGAGACAATACACCTGAGTTCAGCATTCCACTTCAACTGATTTTTCAGACATCTTTATGTACAGTAATCTTAGTAGATACTGTATATGGAAAAATGCAAAGTTCCAATCAACAAAAATGGTGATAGAAGACCCTCTAAATTATAGACCTATTTTGTTGACAAGCATGGCAGTGAAAAAACTAGAAAAATAGTTGAAACCAAATGGATAGTATACCTGAAGAGAAGTAATATAACAGACGGACAATATCTGCCCGAAACGCTGCGCGTACTAGTGGCTTTACGAGATTTTTTAAATAAAATAAAAAATAAAATAAAATAAAATAAAATAAAATAAAATAAAATAAAATAAAATAAAATAAAATAAAATAAAATAAAATAAAATAAAATAAAATAAAATAAAATAAAATAAATAAATAAATAAATAAATTAAATAAATAAATAAAATAAATAAATAAATAAATAAATGCTTTCAAACATTAAGATCATTTTTAACATATCTTAGTTTTTATGACAGTCACTGAGATCTTAAGAGGAAAGAAATGGTTGGCTGTATTTATCTGGATCTAAAAAAGCCTTTTGACTGGGTTCCACACAAGTGGTTGTTCTGGAAACTGGAACATGCTGGAGGGGTGAGTAGAAGACTGTAGAAATGGATACAAATGGATACATGGATACAATACAAAGATGAGGGGCAGTAATCAGAGGCACAGGAGAAGTTTTACTAATAGGCCTCAGTTTGTAACATACAGTATATGATTTTGGGTAACAATATTCAAATAGTATGGCAGTTTTCAATCTTTATTAAATATAGTTTGGTTGCAGTTGATGGATGTTAGAAATGGAATGAGTGTTATAATAGGATGAAACAAGAATGCTTGCCACGTGCTGCTGGTGGAGTCAGGTAAGACATGATGCTGAACAGTGGCCAGAAGCAGTGTTTGTGCAAGGCCTGAAGGAGAGCTCATATGAAGCTGAGGGCACAGCCTGAGTGAGGCTGAGGAGGAGAGCTCGAAGGAGAGCAAGAGTAAAGGATTCGAAGGAGAGCAAGAGCAAAGAGCTTGCATTATTCAGCTATTCTTCTCTGCGTATTTCTGTGAGGCTGTTATAATAGCTTTTAAGTAATTATTTAAATTAATTTTGCCGAGTTCTCCTCCTCTTTGATTTGACTCATTTTGCATGGTCTTTGTCCATACTTATCTGAACTTCAATTAGGTTGTGATCAGAGTTGTATGTATTTATAATCGCCATGTTTCTTATCACTTCACCATTGTTTGTAAACAAAAATAATGTCTAGTGTGTTTTCTATATAGTTTTACCGGGAGCCGGTCGGCCAAGCGGACAGCACGCTGGACTTGTGATCCTGTGGTCCCGGGCGCTGGCGAGAAACAATGGGCAGAGTTTTTTTCACCCTATGCCCCTGTTACCTAGCAGTAAAATAGGTACCTGGGTGTTAGTCAGCTGTCACGGGCTGCTTCCTGGGGTGGAGGCCTGGTCGAGGACCGGGCCGCGGGGACACTAAAGCCCCGAAATCATCTCAAGATAACCTCAAGATTACTATCAGCTGGTTGAAGGCTAATCAGTCACACATTTATGAGGTTATTTTTTATGGAAATGTACACAACAGGGGAGAACAAGAACACAACAGGGGAGAACAAGAACACAACAGGAGAGAACAAGAACACAACAGGGGAGAACAAGAACACAACAGGAGAGAACAAGAACACAACAGGGCAGAACAAGAACACAACAGGGCAGAACAAGAACACAACAGGGCAGAACAAGAACACAACAGGGCAGAACAAGAACACAACAGGGCAGAACAAGAACACAACAGGGGAGAACAAGAACACAACAGGGGAGAACAAGAACACTAACCTCAGCAACAACAGGATCACTGTCAGGTTCATCAGCCCTCATGATGAGTGTAGAGCCGAGGTGTCCACCACTGGTCGCCTCACTCCCGGCGTGTAGTCGTCACCACGACCAGTGCCACTCTTCACCTGGCCACGACGGGTGTGGTGTAGGGCAGGTGTGGTGGAGGGCAGGTGTGGCGTGCGTGAAGGTGCAGGTGTACACGTGCTCAGGGACCGGAGCTCTTGTTTACCTACACCCGCCGCCTCCACTGATGCCACATCTCAATTTGCTCAAAGTAGCGGACTGAAGGACGAAAAGTAGCGGTTTTGTAACAAAATTAGCCCACTATTTTGTTTACTAACACATTTCAGAGTAATATATTGTAATATATAAAGTGTACATGATTTGTAATGGTTTTATTAATATTATCACTGCATGTATTAAATAACAAAAATCGATAATAGGCTAACTTGTAACAAACTAGGTTGATCGGTCCGTCTAATTACCGCAAGCTACACAAGCTTCACTAAGCTTCCTGCTGGCAATACGTTGGTAATGAATAAATATGATATATTTACTCATTAAAATGTTGGTGCTGAATGTACAACACGAAAAAACATAATTTTAATCTGAAAAAGTATCTTTTTATAAAGAAATTAGACGAAAATAAAGCGCTGGTGACGCCAAATCAAGTCGACGATCCAAGCGTCGGTTAGGTTAGGTCAACCTAACCTAACATATCATATTTATTCATTACTAACGTACTGCCAGGAAGCTTTGTGAAGCTTGTGGTAATTAGACGGACCCGGTGTCGACACCTCTCACGACTGACGTCAAAAGCTCTAGTCCCAATCGATTTCTCAGTTTACTTTTCACAGACATTACTGCGAAAATACCCGTTCAACCAGTTCAGACCTGCGTCCCGTTCAATTACTGATTGGTAAGCAGTATATTCTCAACGCAAACTCAGCGAGGTCAATCAGCATGGGCTCTTCAGCAGCGTTCTTGACAGTTATTATTGCTCTGGTCCAAATGACGACCAAGATGCTAGAATTTGTCCCTCACAAATAGTTAAGCGCTGACCAGTCAGCACTTAACACAAGACGTCATTGGTTTTCAGTTTCACTAAGCTTTGGGAAGCTTGGAGCAGCTTTGGGTAATTAGACGGACCGGCTCAGTAGTGCCAGATTGGCCAAAAAGTAGCGAATTGGGCTATTTTTGAGCGCGCGACGCTCTTAAATTTCCTACTAGTTTTGCGACTTTTTGGACTATTAATGTTAAGAAAATCAATAATAATAATAATTTATTCACAATCAAGTATAATGGGTTGATGAGTCCGTCAGTTTAGTTACTTATTTAAATCTTTGAATGTTAGATATTAAGTCACTGCATATCCTCTCAAGTGTTCACCATATACTGCCCGAAACGCTTTGCGTAATAGTGGCTTTAGGCATTGTATGTACTAGCTCTATCTATAAAGCCAACAAACTTTGTAAAATCTCTTTATGTATGTACCTTTGCCTAAATAAAAATTATTATTATTATTAAATTATTATTATATGTATTTAAAACTCTGAACTGTAATGCCAGTCCTGACGGTCTGTCTAATTACCCCAAGTTATCCAAATTTACTCAAAGCTACCCAAAGCTTTCTTGAATATACCCAATTTCTCCTTGGATTGTTAATAAGCAGTCTGAGAGGAATAGTACAGAAAGAACTTTGGCTGGGTTTGGGGAGTAGAACAACTCCCAGAACCCCATCAAGCAGGTATGATGGGCAACAGGGAACACAAGGTATCATGACGATGGCAACACAAGGTATCATGACGATGGCAACACAAGGCATCATGAGGATGGCAACACAAGGCATCATGAGGATGGCAACACAAGGCATCATGAGGATGGCAACACAAGGCATCATGAGGATGGCAACACAAGGCATCATGAGGATGGCAACACAAGGCATCATGAGGATGGCAACACAAGGCATCATGAGGATGGCAACACAAGGCATCATGACGATGGCAAAACAAGGCATCATGACGATGGCAACACAAGGCATCATGACGATGGCAACACAAGGCATCATGACGATGGCAACACAAGGTATCATGACGATGGCAACACAAGGTATCATGACGATGGCAACACAAGGTATCATGACGATGGCAACACAAGGTATCATGACGATGGCAACACAAGGTATCATGACGATGGCAACACAAGGTATCATGACGATGGCAACACAAGGTATCATGACGATGGCAACACAAGGTATCATGACGATGGCAACACAAGGTATCATGACGATGGCAACACAAGGTATCATGACGATGGCAACACAAGGTATCATGACGATGGCAACACAAGGTATCATGACGATGGCAACACAAGGTATCATGACGATGGCAACACAAGGTATCATGACGATGGCAACACAAGGTATCATGACGATGGCAACACAAGGTATCATGACGATGGCAACACAAGGTATCATGACGATGGCAACACAAGGTATCATGACGATGGCAACACAAGGTATCATGACGATGGCAACACAAGGTATCATGACGATGGCAACACAAGGTATCATGACGATGGCAACACAAGGTATCATGACGATGGCAACACAAGGTATCATGACGATGGCAACACAAGGTATCATGACGATGGCAACACAAGGTATCATGACGATGGCAACACAAGGTATCATGACGATGGCAACACAAGGTATCATGAGGATGGCAACACAAGGTATCATGACGATGGCAACACAAGGTATCATGACGATGGCAACACAAGGTATCATGAGGATGGCAACACAAGGTATCATGATGATGGCAACACAAGGTATCATGAGGATGGCAACACAAGGTATCATGATGATGGCAACACAAGGTATCATGAGGATGGCAACACAAGGTATCATGAGGATGGCAACACAAGGTATCATGAGGATGGCAACACAAGGTATCATGACGATGGCAACACAAGGTATCATGAGGATGGCAACACAAGGTATCATGACGATGGCAACACAAGGTATCATGACGATGGCAACACAAGGCATCATGACGATGGCAACACAAGGCATCATGACGATGGCAACACAAGGCATCATGAGGATGGCAACACAAGGCATCATGACGATGGCAACACAAGGCATCATGAG